AAATATTGAGAAATTTAAGTTGTTTTCTAAGAAAAATGAAAATGTGTAGGGGATGCATTTTTCATTGAATAAAACATTGGTATATTTGAGTTTTTACAATTTGTGATGACGATAAATGGCAAGGGCCGGTCAAAACATAGATTGAAATATATCAAGGAAAAGGTACCTGTCCAGAAACTAGGCTGGGGTTTTCTGGAGACATTGTTGTGGCTCATACAAGTAAATTACCAGACGGAAAAAATTTCAAATTATATTCGGATAATTGGTTTTCGTCACTTCAACTTTCTGTTGCTCTAGAAGAAAGACAAATATTTAGTATCTGTACCGTAGGACAAGATAGGATGGGAAAGTGTCCACTGCAATTGGGAAAAGAATTTTAAAAAAAGGACGTGGATCATATGATTTCAAAGTTGAAACGGAAAATAATATATCTTTAGTTTGTTGGTTTGATCGGAAGTCAATCAATTTTTTATCTACGTATACGAGTGTTGAACCTCTTGGGTCTTGTAAGCGATGGAGCATGTCTGACAAAAAATGTATTGAAGTACAAAGACCTCACGTTGTGGAGGAATATAATAAATGTATGGATGGAGTAGATGTTGCTGATATTATGTTGTTGGAACTGTATAGAACTGATATAAGATCAAATAAATGGTACATGCGAATAATTTTTTGGGTGATTGGAGTTTGTATTGTAAATGGCTGGCTTCTTTATCGACGTCATTTAAAACAAAAGAAAGAAAAATTGAAAATGAGCTTACTAGAATTTCAAACAAATATTGCCGCTGCTTTATGCGAAATAACTGTGACTCGCAAAAGATTACGACCATCCGCAAAAACAGCAAATTCACTAACTGAAATGCTAAAGAAAAAAAAGCTAATTCTACACCAACACCAGTACCTCACATCAGATTCGACGGATATAATCACTGGCCTGAAATGGTTGATATAAAAGAGCGGTGCAGGGCCTGCAAGCAAACTACTTTTATGAAATTCAGTAAGTGCAAGATTCATCTGTGCATAACTATGAACAGAAACTGCTTTAAAACATTCCACAACAAGTGAATGATAAAAAATAATATCCGTATTATAAGTATTTCTTAGTTTTACTTTTCTTCATAAATGAACATTATAATAAGTATTGTTTTTTTTATTTCATTTTTATTCATTTTTTAACCAAAAAAGTATTAAGTTTTTGTTTTGTTTATCATTAATTATAATACATTTATTTCAATATATATTTGTTTTTATTTAATTTTTAGAAAAATTCATAATTATAGTCCAGTAATAATCATTGTTGCTTATAAGTAGGGTTCGGGACTTCTTGCATTTGCATGTATTTTTGTAGTGGTCGTAGTCTATTCTAAGTGAGTTATAAATGTGTTTTATGAAATGACGAAATTAAATACTAAGTTTGAATTTGCATATTTTTGCATATTTCGTCATATTTTAAGAAAAGCACATATTTGTGAAATTTTTAACATATTTGGGCATATTTCACATTTTTATATTTTTATAAATGTAAAATTGTCGGAAAAAATCATGATTGGATGGTCGTAGTCTTTCGTATCTAAAACGTACGTCTGTTTACGATGATAGTCTCTTTATCGCTTAATAATCAACCTTTTTATCGACAATATCGACAATTGTATATTTGTGGTAAAACCTTATGAATCCTGGGTTGATACAGATGGAGATGAGTAACCCGTGTAAAAAACATTTTTATTATATTAATACCTACCTAATTTTTAAATTTTCATTTTTATAATAATAATTTACAATATACCTTATGCGTTTTTTAAAAACAAAATACAAAATTAGCTGCATATTTTAAAGCATATTTTGACGATTTTGACTGCATATTTCCATGCATATTTCGATAATCTTAAGTGCAAGAAGTCCCGAACCCTACTTATAAGCAACATGTCGGAAAACTCGGAAAAACGAAATATCATATTTAAGATTTTTTAAATATGTAATCATATGACTAAAATTAATTTAAAAAATGCATAATTATTTTTTTTATATAAAACTGAAAATTTGGGCATGAAAGGGTTTTAAGAAGATCATATCATTAACCAACATTGACGATGATTAAAGTTGGATTTGAAATATTATTAAACACAATTTCATTAAATGCACTAACCTTCTTCATTCCTGTGACTGGTAACAAAATGGACGGTACTGAATTTAGAGAGAGCATTCTAAAATCACTAATTCAAAAATCTCAAATATCCTAAATAAGTTAAGGAGAAAACCATAAGCTACTTACTTGCAGGAGAGGAAGATATTACGAATGGTATAATGAGATGGCGAAGCAAAGTGGAAGACACGATGCTCAAAAAGTCACTCGAAAAATGCGAACCATGTGTATAAGTTGTTCTAAGCCTTTACGTTTAGATTGTTTTTTTTAAAAAGCATTCGTCAAAAAAAAAAAGTGTATTAGAGAATGTTTTTTTGTTTTTACATTATTTTGTAAGCTAATTTACACAAAATATAAAAAAAGTATTTTTTATATGAACACATAACAATATTTATTGGAAAACCCAATTCATTTTCTTTTTACATAGAAAAAATCATTTTTATCTGTACTTTCTATTAAAGTATTTACCAAAATTGACCCTCAAAGTCCGAGAGTCAAACAGTGTGAGCACCAGTATTGGTGATCAAAGCGTGTACAACAAATATGTTAAAACTATTGAGGCCTAGGGTATACTTAAAACGTGAATAAAAATATGGTACTTGTGGCAGTCAACTTGTTAATATTATAGCCTATAGGTTAGGTACCTTATAAAAATCCTGATACTACGGGGAAAGAAAATTTACCAGATCCACCTGCTTCAATTTTATCTCCCTGTGAATATTTTTAACAGTATTTTTATGGTAAAATCATTCAGAATTTATGTGAACAGACCAATATTTATTCTGTACAGAAGTAGGGTATATGCATTGCTACATTCACAGCTGAGATTGAACAATTTATTAGGATTCACATGTATGTATTTCTTTCACACCTATAAGTTATTATACATTATGCTGTTTCTTAAAAAACAAAATTGTTTGTTTTTAGGTATTTGGGTAAAGAAAAGTTCAAATGCCCTAGAGAGGAAGACTATTATCTAATACACCAACAAATAAGTAAAAAAGTATTTTTCACTTAGACCAATTGAGGATGTAAGGTATGATGAAACTGGACATTGGCCAACCCGGGTCATAGAAAAACAAAGATTTAAGAATAAGTACATTAAATGTTATTCCTCAACAAAAGTGATAAGTGTAAATTACATTTACAAAGCCCGTCAAAAATAAGAATAAATATATATGTACTTGAATAATGGCTGTAAAGCTTTAAAAACCACTAACTTAAACATTAATGTACAAAATAAAATTTTTTTCTATATGGTAGTGGGGATGATTATCATTACAGTGGCTCGTTTTCTGTTTAAGAGCTCATGTTGATAGCTTAGATAGTTAGATGCTATCTCAAAAACACACGAAAGCATTAAAATATTACATATACATACGTATACGACAATGAGCGGATAGGCCTACCGGAAAACCTGGCATTTCTCGTTGGGCCTCCTCCGTGTTTCAACAGTGGGGCTATTTATATCGTTTGACGCAATGATTCATTAATATTATACGATATCGATTAGACATGTAATATAATATCTATTATAATAGTCCAATCAGTCTTATACAGTTTTATCAATTCTGTGGTATTTGACAAAAGATTTTTTCAGCAGCCACCACGCGGTCCACCAACTACAACGTCGTTATTGGTTGGCAGCGGGTAGTGGTCACGGAGTACTGACCAAGGTTGTGATAGTTATTACCCACCTTATACTAACCCACAAATATGTTGTGTACTTATAATAGAATAATTTAAACTGAACGTTGCAAATTGTCAATGCTATCGAGAATTTGTGGTTAAATGTGAAAGTACATTTTCTAAATTAAAAATGGTCAAAAATTAATTTAGAAATACTATAATAGGACAACAATGTATCAGAGTATGTTATCAATGAATGTTGGTAAATATATTCTCAATAAAATAATTAGTTCTGAAGAAATCATTAATAGCTTAGGAACTAGGAACCCAGTATTTGGTAGAATGTTATTGGTTTAAAGTAAAAAGTAACTTAATGATTTTAAAAAATCTATTTTGTTTTGATAGTATAGTTTACCCAATACTGTATTTGCTAGCGAAGCAAGTTACACATTTTTTTTTCATGTAGGGCGCCCCTTTTAAAATTTTCCGATAGGCCATTGTATACTACGCCCATTAAACCTAACCAAAATAAGTAATTATACATAAATATTTTAATATTACTAACTGATCCTGTGTACTTCGTTGCCCGTTAAAACTGCCAACTCTATATGAGTTTCGCTTGTGACAATGCGAGTAGTATATTATCAGGTAGGCAATCCACCTGCGGCGGATTGCATACTTTGCTTGATGCGTACTCTACAGTTACAATACTTACATACTATTTACTATATAAGACTGTGAATAATAATATTAAACACACGCTTGTAAAAGTGTAGTTAGGTTGGCGGTGGTGAGTTGTTTCAATGATATACATGTTCCGCCGCCGCCTCCACGTGATCGTGCACGTGTAAATGTGCGTCCGAATACCAACATGCCGTGCGACTGTCTGATTGACTGATCCGAAGACCGGTCATCCAAGTTACCACCATCTCATTACCGCGAGGGGTATGACACTATGTGAACTGTCCGAGTCGGGCGATTGAGGCTTTAAACACCGTCTTCAGAGGGGGCGTGACATATGTGAAATAGGGAATGGAAAACAAGCAGATCTCGTGCAGCTTACCCCGCCTTTGAGGCAGTTAACGTTTCCTGAATTAGGGTAACATAATAATACCCTATATGTTATTACGACTATCGCCGTTATGGATGGTATCGGCTGTATTGTTTATTGTTTTGATTGTGTAAACAACTATATAATAACTAATAATACATATTATAATTTTCGTACCTTTTTGTTGAGTTCGGTAAATAACTGTTGTTCCCATATGGTGGCTTCGCCTTGACGGCACAGCGAAGACGCGTACTGAATGCAATGCGATTTGTTTTCACTGCGCATCGTTACGTCCAGATAAATGCAATCGGTTCCATCCATTACTGTATTTATGAGGTCATTTACTTCAGCGTTTGTAGGTACCGTACTTACTTCCATAGAACTGAGATATTCCCCGTACGTGATGGTCGGTTTTCCGGCCTATTTTTTGTAACGGTTAGGGAAATAAATCGCTGTATTAATGTATTATACTTTTATACCTGAAGAACTGTTGAGAATAAAAACTTTTTATTTAAAATATATAAAGTTAAACCGCCTTGCCATTATACATTTCAGATAAGAAAAAACACAGTCAATGTCCTGATAACTCACTACGTTGCATTTAGATAAAACGATCTTCTGAGCCAGAAATATCTTGTCATGACCAACCTCCATGGACAAGTTCGGTCGATTCAGGAACACTCCGTCTACGACTGGTAAGATATCATCAATGTTCTCCAGTCCAACAGTGTTGTCGATTTTTGAGTACAGGCTAATTTCCCCACCTCGCTCTAAGTCTTCAAAAAAAAAAAGCACAGGAGAAAATGTTCTACAGTTAGACAACAGTACATATCCACACTAGTAGGGTGGGCAAGCAGTGCAGCCGCAACCAAACCCCACGATTGTGGGGTTGCCACATAGTATTCTATACCACAAATAATCATAATACATAACAATATTGTGGTAATAGTAAGCAAACTGAGATCAGTGTGGCTGTGTGGTTTTACTAGAAAAAGGTTGTTATCAAAAAAAAGATGACGGTACTAATTTAATATTTATATACACATTGTTATTGCCTTGTTGGAAATATTCTAGATTCATAATTTAACTATAAATACAATTTAATTAATTTACCATGTACTTAGGAAATCATAGACGGCGATCGATGATGGTATGAAATATAGCTAAAGCCTATAACACGGTTAGTTATATTATTTGAAATTCCTACTTTTATTATTCGACAAATATAGTGGAAATGTGGAATCAATAAGAACCTAGGTGTCCTATACAATAATATAAATTGGCTTTTATAAGTTAATACATTACAATTTAGATTTAAAACAAGACCTTAAGGCTTATAACATTATACAAAAATAGGTAAGTACGTTAGAAAATAAAATAATTAAAATAAATGTATATTATGGGGCCCATTAAAATTCTGTAGCTGGCCGGCACCGGAATCTTTAACAAATGAAGTTGGCATATGGATGTACAGAGTTTGAAAAGTGTGTATATCAGGCTAAAAACATTAAACACATGAAATATTGGGAAAGAAACTCATGTAATTTCAATACATGAAGAGAACTGGTTGTTTGTCGGCGGCAATAATTTCATGCTCGACTTACCAACAAACTTGCGAACGTGACCGAACAACTCTGAGTTTCTGACACCTGGCACCAAGATTACGTCCACTTTGAGTTGGATCCCTGTACGAATTTTCTCCTCATCTAGTTTAGAAAGTGCTGTCGAGCCAATCGGCATTTTCGGCACGTGCACTGCTTTTTCGGAACCCAAAAATTCTCCTCTCTTTATCACGCAATACACTTCATTCTCGTCTACACAGAAAGAAAAATAATATAGTTTTTTCTAACGCCTCAGTCACGAAAAAATTGCATTGTCAGTGTTTCTTGTTAATCGCATTGTCGTTTTAATAATAAAATAACATGTATATTAAGTGTTTACCTACTCTGATCACAGCGAGTTCAATTTTTCCGTAGTCCAAGTAGATCCGATCGTTAGTTTTGAGCCGAAAAATCATATCGCTATTCACATAAATACGGTCCTTCGTACACTTAAATTTGTACTCGATATCGTTGGTGACAGAAACATGAGCGTTCGTCGATAATTCGATCAAGCGTTGTATGGGCTGGTCAAGTAAAAATGATTCTTATATTGGATTACTAGACACGTGGTAACAAATTGTTTTAGAAATAACTTTTTTTATGATTTCTCAACTTGTGTAATTATATTTATTCATTATTCAGTCAAATTATTGCAACACTCAAATTAAAAAATTTTTCTTAGAAATCATAACCATTATTTTTATATTATTATTTTATATAAATATGTATCACCGTTGTATGGAATATTCTTCCAGTTGTGATGCAAGATCCTCCAAGATCGAGTACTAAAGTCATTGCATACGGTACTTGGTTGTTATTTTTAAGACTGAAATTAAAAACTCCTTGGCGAATTTCGAAAACCATTTTTCGACACTGTTCAAATGACAAACCGTTAAAATCAAATATTACCATAGATGCTCCTCTTTTACAAAATTCTTCTATCAATCCTCTAGTCACGTTAGGCACTGAAATAATAGTATCCAAATAAATTTTATTGGCACTGAAGAGTGGGTAATTAATTTTTGTCTATGTATTTATACGAACAGACACCACAAGCTATAGTGGTTAAGGTATTCTGTGATGGATTTGATTCAATTTTTAAATTGCTTAAATGGTCAAGATAGTTGTCCTCAAAAGAAGCTTTCATTTGCATTTCATTGTCATAACATGGTTCCTACAGATATATTTTATTTTATTTTCTTATAACCACAATAACAATAATAATTGTCTAATTCCAACGATGTTCTTACCCAGGGTAACACAACACATGGTTCATCGTTTAAAGGTATATTTGAAGAGTCCATTTTTTTTTCAATATGTTTCTAGAATTTTTATGATACAAAATAAACTTTAAATTAATTTAATTCAAAATGATTAAAATCAACAGTGAGATTGCACTAACCAAACCTGTGTTAAACAAACGTTACCTTAGAAACCCTTTGATGTTCATAATACACACATAAATAATGCAAAAGAAATTAGTAAAGAAAATTTGAAATAAATATTTTGATGTAACTATATTCTGCTGGAACCGTATTTGGTGGAAATTAATTTGTTTCTAAAATATCTTGCCCCAACCCTCTTGCTATTTTAGTTAATAATAATTGATATATCACCTTTAAAAAAAATTAATGCGACTGCATGACTAAATAGATATGATACCTTGATCTCTGTATCATAGATACAATAGTGTATCTTGATACGTACCCGGTTTCATCAGTTCACCATAGAAAGTGGTGACTGACTTTCCGCCTCTTTTCATCGACTGCTGTCCTGCTAGTATTCTGTTGATCGTGGTTGACAATAATATTAGAAACAACTGTTAGTATATCAGAGTAATAGACTCTATAACAAGGCTGCCCAAACCCAGGCCCGTGGGCCTTTCTATTTTAAATAATTATTATTATTTTATTAAATTCATCCAATATCCAACTGGAAAGCACAGAAACTCAAAACCACATTTTCTTGAAGCAGATATTTTTCGAAACTGTATCATCACAACCACAGAAAATTTAATACAGTTTTGGAGATTTGGATCAATATATATTTGCGAAAAAGCTTTTTCTACTCTAACCTATGTAAAAAATAAATATCGCAGTTCGTTAACTGTGCCTCATATTTCAGATTTGATATAATCATTAACATCAGATTCATCACCAGATATTGAAAAATTATTAGCTAATAATTCCCTTCATAGGTATCATTGATGTTTTTTTTACCTATTTATTTAAGTATCTATTTGTAGAATATAGAACCAAAGATGAATCATAAGTGTAAGAAAGTCTTGTTCGTAATATAGTCCGTCAGCTAACTGTGATTGAAATTATAGCCAGCTTCCAAAATAAATTGGGCAGCCTTGCTTTATAATATCACAGAACAATATAGAAGCGACACTCTGCGTGGTGGCCGACCTCTGGTGGTTTAGTGTTGATGTTGTAAATGATTACCTCCTAGTGGTTTAGGAGTGTTTAGGAGTGTTTATGAGTATTTAATTATTAATGACTGTATAGCAAAATTTCTTATATCATTATTATGATGAAGAGACACCTCAGAAAAGTCTGACTTTAAGCTTAACACTTTCAGAATCACATTAACTTTTACAAAAATAAAAATAATATTTTTGATTATTCCTCTTACTGTTTATAATAAGAATAAAACATTTAAAAAAATGTATATTACCCTTGAGTATTTCTGAAATGGAAAATTTTTAATTAATTTTGGAATGAAATAATGTGTTAAATTAAATTTTGTTTTGGAGTGCTTTGCAGCAGATAATAAATCGTTATCACTAGGGCTCGAATTTCAAGCATTATAGATTCTTTCCAAGCTAGTTATAAATATGTTTCAAGTACTCCGTATTCTAACCAAAACTTTTTTGCATTTTTTGAAATTTTAAATTCATTTTGTATTTTCTTAGGACATTTTTGACCTATTTCTCGAATAATGGCTAAAAAAATTGACCTCATTGAAATATAAGTAGTAAACAGTAGTATAAATTATTTTCATTTGGAACTTAACATCAGGTAATATAAACACCGAAAAATGTCCAACAATATATGTTATGTTAAATATATTATGTACTAGTTACTACTGTATCTGTTGAAAAAAGAGTTTTTCACACTTGGTTGACTTACGTTTTTGAGAAATCAACTAAGAAATGTTACTATTCATCGTAACACACCTCTAAATGTCGAAGAAATTGTTAATATATTTCTTAACAAAAATAGAAAAATGAACTTTACATAATAGTAAATCAGTTTAATTTTTCCATGTTGATTCCTCAAAAACATTTAAGGCCACCAAGTGTTGAAAAATTCTTATTATGTATCTAATGTAATAATAAATATGTGTCAATACATTAAAATTCCTCTATTTGTATCATTTATGTAATAATTAAAACCACCTGACCCCTAAAAAAGTTATAGTTATAGATATGATGGTGGTAAATTGGAACATAGTGAACATAGTTCCTAAATACTTCTTTCATACTAAAAAATATTAAAATGTATTAAACATATCAACTAGAGTAAAAAATTAGACAAGTTCAAGTTACCTTAAACGAAATAGTAGTGTCTTCAAAAAACAATTACGAACGTCAGACCCACTCGGACCAGTTTGGAGCGTTTCGAGAGATTCGGACGAACGTACAACACAACAAAATGTAAAATTAAATAACTGGAAATTTCATTAATAGGAAGCTTTGCACAACGCCGGTTCAACATAACGGTAAAAATAACGTTCGGTGAAACCAAACGTTAAAATTTTTATCGTAATTGATGAAAAACGATTCTAATCAGAGTCTAGGATATTTTATAGTGTTCTTACTTACTATTAATTTTTAATACGGTAGCTGGTAAATTGAATTATTATTATTCATAGTATTATTCTTAAATTATCAGTGATGCTGGCGAAATGCTAAGTATACTTTTGCACAATTGGCCTGTTTTGTAACCGAATTACAAAATGACAAACATCGTTAAACACTGCTTAAGTGAAATCTTGTATGCAATTTTCAATCCTTTACTATACAATTTGAAAATATTATAACTTTTTAACAACAAAATCATTTTCACTTTTCAATTAACATTTATAAAAAATAGTATAAAAAAAAATGAAAATTGAAAATGTAAAAAACTTACAACAACTCAAAATATTTTACATATTTTGTGAAGCATATGAATTCACAAAATAAACTTTGTGTGTGAATTTGTCTACAGTTATGAATTAATATTCAATATTTGTAATTCAAAATAACAACAAAATAAGAAAATCGCTACATGAAAATTGAGTGATTTTCCAATGTTGTAAAAATTTCATCTTCTAATGTTCATAAAAATTTAATTTCACTTTTCGATAAAAAATTTTTTTGTTTAAGGTAGACAAACCCCGGATAAACTTAAAAGGAATTTTGTATTACATTTTATAATCTTAAATATAGAATAAAATAGGCGGAATTTATCATAAAGGTTATTTTTACCGGTTCATTTCTGGCGAAATTTAATATCTCCCAAATTGTAGATTTTGGTTTCTAAATAAATGTAATGGACCATGTTTATAAGTTTTCTATAAGCTGTGCCTTCTATGTTTACGATATATTTTTCGTACACATATATCTAAAAGTTGAATTAACGTGTAAACTATATGGAATAAAGGATGAACACACTGAACCGATACTCGCAGACCGGCACCGGACAAATTATTAATTAATATAAAATAATACTCCAATTTACATCTAACAGATCGTCAGCACCATGAACAAGATAATGTCATCAGCTTCCCACATACCAGTATTTACTATTTCATCAAGTCTAGAAGTCAAGTTTTGTTGTTTTTTGAATCTCAAAGATTCATTTGCATTAAAAACTTCTTTGATGTCATTCAAAGAAATTTTGGGGGTTGCAGTTTCCAATATTGTACAGTTTCCAGATTTTGTAGGTTTTAAAATGGAGTAAACTGATAATATTTTATAAACCTGTAAAAATTTGGGGTTGAAGGATGGTCATTAGGACCCGTAACTTATCGAACAGAACCAAAAAATTGCTATCAAAACAGAACAATAATTTTTTGTTTTTTTAATTATTGCCTAACATCTTAACATTACAAATAGGTAGCTCAATACTTCTAATTTATCCTGATTCATTTTATTGGTCAATACATAATGGAATCCGATATCTAACAAATATGTTGAGAAATCTATAGTTGATTGAATCGTAACTCGAAATCCTTCAGCAGTTTGTTTAGTTAAGAATCTGATTCATTTATTTTACTATTTAACATATTAGATTCCCATTGATCAACCCGAGTTAAGTGTATAAAGTTAATAAAATTATTTATTTTTATTTTTTTATTATTATTATTATTATATGAGTATTATTACTTTAAAATCAGCAGAATTTCTCCTAATACCCTCCGCAGGAAATCCTTTATTTAATGAATCAAAAATATCATTAAATAACTTGGAAAACTTTTCGGTTTCTTGACTAAATTTTAATTTGTGTACATTTTCATGGTCCTTGTGATATTTCAAGCCTACTGGTACCAAGTTACTAAAAATCTGAAATAGTGGATAATTATCAAAAATTAAATTACATCTTATTTGCCTAGTATGTATTTCTTTGTTTTAGATTGAAATTACTTGAGTGGCAAGCTTTACATTCATCTTGGAAAAGCTATCCAAAACTAAATGCCTGTTAGTTATTTTTGGGCAAACTCTTTTCGAAATTTGTTTCAAATCTTGTTATAATATAACAATATATTATAATATATATATAATGGTCCCATTTAATGTAATTATGTTGATCACTTATCTAATTTTTATTATTAAACAATCAATAAAATAATTCGTAAGTTTTATAATAATATAATTAATTACCCTTAACATTTTGTTATTGTATAACCTATTTCGGACTGTTTTGATTAAGTGAAGTGCATCGGAGAAAAAATATATCTTTCGATCATCATTCATTGGGTGAACATTAAAAATTTTTAATTTTCCTACTTTACCAGAGACCCCAAATTCACTCCATAACCTTCTGTTTGTTGAACTTCCATTACTTACGTCACCATCAATCTTTGCTCCTGCATTTTCAAGAAGAGCTATAGCTTTAACTACTAATTGATAAAGTATAACTCATAAAATTGACTTGTAATTTTGTTATAACTGAAACTGATGTATAATTGTTATTTTTATGTTTTAATAACCTTTAACTGGTCCTTTTGACGCAAATACTGCAATTGGCTGAGTGATATTGGAACCCAAGCTTTGGAACATCATTACTAAACCGTGATCAGCTTTTAACCCAGA